CAGACATTCGCAGCCTCTCCGCTTTTTGTTCAGTAGTGCGGACCTATCTGGAGTGGGCGAAGCGACAAGGGTTGGATACAGTTTAAAATTAGAAAGAAGTAAACCCCAGGAAAGGAACAATTCTTGGGAAGTGTCTGCCCCCGCAACTCCGCAGGCTGCAGCGGGAAGAGAGTGCGTCCCGCTCTGCTCCCAGGTCCAGGGCTGCCCTAACCTAGCCTCGCTGCCTCCGATGCACCAGCACTGCGGAAGTTTCGTGCACTTGGCTGTCCCTGACGGCGCCACAAAGGCCAGCAGCTGAGCCACCGCAGCTGAGCTGAGCGGCAGGGAGCCAGCAGAGCGGTGCACCCGCGAGCGCCCTTGTGGCCAATGGGGCTGTTTGCAGAGGTGTTGCCCTGGGGTCTCCAGGTAGGTTGGACAGAGGAAGCGCCTGCTGAAACTGTGCATCTGAGACCTGCAGAGGCTGCAGCTATCCTGTCCTTTGTGTGGTGAAGACAGTGTGTGCCAGGGAGCCAAAAACCAGAAATGATTAACCAGCAACGTTCGTCTGAAAATTAGGTGAAAGAACAAGGAAAAAAATATGAATTCTATCCTTAGCTGTACGAAAGTAATTTCCATGCAACTTATTTCAAAAGAGAATATCAATATTCATATACAATAATTTTAAATTTAAAAATTATCTCAATTGCGTGTAACAGATTTTTAAACTACTCAGCTCCAAAGCCAGAAGTCAAAGTGATGTTTTGGGCAGAAAACCCTGAATGAAAGATCTCATTGCACCTTTTCATTTGCAGCACAGCTGAAGAATAAATAACTTTGTAGGGCCCTTAAAACAGAGAGGCTGAGCTCCAGATGTACTGTTGGCTGTAACTAAGGGCAGTGAAAGGTCCTGGCTAGGATGCAACTGCTTCTCATGATCCTTGCACAAATCTAGCAAGTTTTTGGAGAGCCCAAATCTCCATATACATAATCTAGTTTTCTTCTATAATCACCGGAAAGAAATAGCAAAGATGTGGTTACATTGTCTAGGTAGCATGCTCCCTGAGTTTCTTCTGTACAGCTTTATATACTGACCACATAACTGACAAAAAATTATGGCTCTTTTTATTAAAGAGTGAAATCTGCCATCTCCATCAATTATATCTCTACTTCTATAAGATGTTTAAACTGTTAGCCTCATTTTCCTCCAACAAAAGTTCATTAAGCTCTTCTTATGTGCCAGCTGCGTGTTCTTTCCAGAAGAAACCTTTCTTAGCCCAGAGGTGGGATGCTGGTGATTAGCCATGGATGGAAGTCTGCAACCCCACCAGGCTGATTCTATCCCTTGACCTAGTAGGATAGGTACTTGGCCTAGTATTGTTAGCGCTGCCCAAATTTAGAAAGAGGAAGTATACGTGGTATACACATTAGGCAGGAGAAGAATGAGCTGCTTGTAAAAACACTTATGTATCCACCCACATCATTAAGAGGAGGAGGAGAACGAGGAGCACAACAGTGAACTTGAGAAGCAGGATAACCCGGTATTAGAAGGAAGTTCTGGGTTGGACTGCTGGGGATCAACTACCTTGTGTGACATTGGGAAGGCTACTCATTATCTCTGTGCCTACATATCCTCACTCTGAAAGTAGGAATTAGCATCTTTTTCATTGGGTTGGCAGAAGGATTAAATACAGTAAATGTCAGCTGTGTCAAAACCTTGATCCTTTGTATTTCTGCTCACTGAAGGGTGGACACCACTTCATTTGGCTTGATCTAATGAAGAAGAGTTCCATTCTGAAGCTGGTTTTCTTGGGAATATTAATAAACTGTTAGCAGTAGATACAAAAAATACATTCAATAAATAAGTATGTGGTTGTAAAGAATTGGCTAAGAGATTTAAATTTACAAGTAAAATAGTATAAATTAAAAATTTGCTTATTTAGGGTTCAGGTGAAGTATTCAACATAGTTTCATAGTTGTTTATTTTAAAGCATCACATATTAAGCAGATATCCACTTCTAATTCCTTAATGAGAATATTGCAATTTTTAACTTTATTAAATTCACACTTCAATTATACTTTTAATCTCTGACCTAAACAAATTATGTTGTACGTAAATGAAACTGCCAATGAAAAACTGAAATAGGGCCTATTTTAATTGATGTATTTGTTTAGGCAGTTAAGCACCTATAAAATAGGGAAGTATACCCAAGTGTCAGAAGATACGGGGTGGGGAGGATTTTAATATTTTGGTTACCATCAAGATATTGTTAACTCTTGCATTAAAATTAGTGCAGAAAATTAGTGTGTCCAGGGCAGAGACTCTTAACCTTTTTTTGTGTTCCAAGGACCACTTTGGCAGCCAGGTGAAACCCCTCCTCAGAATAATGCTTTTTAATGCCTAAAATAACAGTTTTTTACGTAGAGTTGTAAGTGAGAAACTGAAAATTAGTTTGGACTGTAAAATCTGCCCTGCCATTCAAAAGCCTGAAAGCCAAGTGCAAAATTAAGAGAAAACAGTATCTATCTCTCCCAGAACACAGTTGAGTTCTAAGTGTCATAATAACCCTGTTTTCTTTTTCTTTCTTTTTTTTTTTTTGAGAGGGCATCTCTCGTATTTATTGATCAAATGGTTAAGAACAATAAAATTCTGCATAGGGGACTCAATGCACAATCATTAATCAACCCCAAGCCTAATTCTCGTCAGTCTCCAATCTTCTGAAGCATAACGAACAAGTTCTTACATGGTGAACAAGTTCTTACATGATGAACAGTGCAAGGGTAGTCACATCACACAAACTTTCAGTTTTGATCACACATCATGAACTATAAACAATCAAGTCAGATATGATTATTCGTTTGATTTTTATACTTGATTTATATGTGAATTCCACATTTCTCCCTTATTATAATAACCCTGCTTTCTGACTGAGACAGAAAATGTGTTCTCTAAAATTAAAGACTTACAGACTTTGCAGTTTGAAACTATCCGTAAGAATGAAATATAACAGCTTTGAAGGGTCCCCACCCATAAGATGGCGAACTCACCCCTTGCCCCCCCTAATCCCAGCACCTAGCCAATAGCCACCAGCCCCATAGAAGTGACACCTCAATCAGCTCATGCCCCTTCCTATATAACCCAGCACCTTTCCCTAATAAAGCGGAATTCTCCGGTGAATTGCTGCTGTGTCGCTCCTTTCCTTTCAACCTTTGCCTGGAGAACGTCAGTGGCTTGACACAGAGAAGCAGCGTTAGTTTACATCCTTTACAACCCAGTGCAGTTTCCCATAAGGGTTTTCCAGACTCAAAATTCTACCTCTATTTTAACATCATCATCATTTCCAAGGAAATAGGACCCTGGGTCCACTTGGTAGTCTAGGCTGCTGTTGACTGCATGTTAAGACACAGCCTTGCTGTGCTTTGAGCCTACCAAAGTACTGCTCATTCAATTCCACCTGAACTCCACCCCACCGAGAATCCCCTAGTTCTATCGTTTCCTTTTTTGGGGAGATGCCACACAGTTTCTCTGGTGTGCAATCGCCTATTGTGCCCAAAGTCGTGAATCCCAGAAGACCACCAAGGAGCCAACACCAATGCAAAAGCAAAGAGCCTTTATTCAAGCTAGCTCGAGCTCAATCTCTCATCTACACCAACCCAGTGGCAAGATGCCAGAGAAAGAGAGCGAGTTTCAATACCACAAAGGTTTTATGGGGTTCTAGGGCAGTTGGTGGGGTGATGGTCATGGCTCTGGCTGATTGGCTGGATCTAGGGGTAGTTGGTGGGGTGATGGGTCGTGGCTCTGGTCAATTGGCAGGGTCTAAGGGTGGTGGGTGAGCTCCTTGCTGACTGGAGAGGAGAGAGACAAAGCTCCGATTGGGTGAAATAGGATCTGGGTCCCGATTGGCTGAGGTAGGCTCCGGGTCCTAATTGGCTGAAATAGAATCTGGGAGCTTGCCCTTTCACTCCCACATTGCATTGGCTGATAAACCTGATTTTATCAGACCCGGTGCTCCTAGTGTGGTCTTAGCAAACTGGACAATGGCCCAAGGGAAACCATTTGGATTAAAATTCAGTTTGTTCCTTGGCCCTCAAAGTTTAAAAAGCATGGGCTAGAGAGGAGTACCAGTGAGATAAGTCATCAGGTAGCAATAGTCTACAGGCATCTTTAGCCAAGGGTTTGGGGCCATAGCCAAAGAGGAAGAGGGGGCAGAAGAGACCAGAGCAGATGGGAGCTATTGCGAGGCTGAGCTGGGACTCCTGAGGAGCCGCGCTCACGGTGAGGGCTCCGGACGGACGAGCGCGCACGGAGTGGGGAGACTGCGGACACCGAGAAGGGAGAGGGAGATCCCCACCACTGCTCGACGTTAGCCTGCAGCTGGTTTTGTAGCTCTGGGAAGAGGATGGTAAATTCCACTGCGGCAGTCTTGTGTATGGCCTCCTTACATGTAAAAGTTACAATTTTATTTTTGGAGAGCTGTTTCTTGTAATTAGTTTGAAGCTGTGCTCAAGCGCTGGCTTCTGCATCACTCACAAGTTCGCTGTCCTAGTCTGAACCTGTGGGATGGGGTAAGAGCTCCGTGCAAGAGAATCCAGGGGGAGCGCAAAGCTGGAAGCTTTTTATTGGTTTGGTTTGGTTTGAGAGGTGGTTGTTTTGGAGGGAGGGCAGCAGAAGCTGCTATATTTGAACTGAGGAGGCCAGACACGCTCAGCATTAGAGTCAGAGAAAGACGAGGCCCGCAGGCCGGGTGGACGCTCTGCGGAGCCGGACCGAGGCGCCTCCCTAGTCGAATAGCCGCCACGGTGCAGGGCGCTGGGGCGGAGAGGAAACGGCTCCCTGGCGCTCGGGGCCGGAGGGGGGCGGTGGGGGGTGGGGGGGGCGGTGTGTGCCCTGCGTGGCGCGGACCAGCCCCGGCTGGAGCGCGCGAGCAGAGGGCGGACCCCGCCGGCCGCAGGAGTCCCGTGCACGCGGGAGGCGCAGGGGCGCGGCTCTGCGCATGCTCGGCTCGCGGCCCTCCGCCGTCGCCGGGCTCGGGAGGCCCTGTCCGCACCGGGAGCTGCAGATGGCGCAGGCAGGAGACGCCCGGCTGAGGGCCGGGGGGCAGTGCTGCGCGAGCACGGCCCTGGGGCGCGCGTCTTGGCGTTGGGCCCTAGCGCTGCTCTGGCTGGTGGCGGCCGCGGGCGGCCCCTCCCGGAGCCGATGGCCGGTGCCCTATAAGTGAGTGTGCGCGGGCGCTCTCCCAGCGGGCGGGCGGGCGGGTGCAGGGCTGGGAGTCCGCGCCGGCGCGCGCCTTAGTGCCCCAGTCACGCGGCGGTGCGGAGGCGGCGCCCGGGACATTCCGCGCTCAGTGGGGAACCCAGCTGGGACCTCTGGGTTGGAGCTACTACCTGCTTGCTTCCCTGGGGCCTTCCTCTCGGGCTTGTTGTCCCGAACCATGGAAAAAAAGGGGAGTAATGTCATTTTATTGCGTGACTTCTAGATACAAGTAACCGCCTCTCTGAGTAATTTGGGGAGACCTTTACTATAGCATTAATTTACGCACTGTTATTAGTTACCTGAGTCTGTAAACTTTGGCACAATGTACAGCATGACCAACTCGCCTTGGTTCGCTGGCACTTAACCTTTTTAAGCACTAAAAGGCCCGCATCCCGGGAATGCCCTGCTCGTCGGTCCCGGGCAAACCGGAAAGATCGGTGATCGCTGTCTTCAGTCTGGCGGTAGGAGACTCGTCGTAGTCGAAGACGGAGACGGAGACTGCAACTTATGAAGCCGATTGGAGCCTTTGACCTAAAAGAATATTTACACAGTCTAAGACTGTCAGCTGTCTAAACAGAAAGAAAACCTGGTGTCAATATCAGGCCGCATGACAAAAATAGTGAGTTGGAAGGCAGGACAACCAGTGGTCGTGAGTTCCGGGTTCCGAATGCTGCGGATCGAAGGACGTTCCACCATCACTAGCCGTGTGATCTTGGGAAAGTTACTCAGTATCTCTATGCCCACACGTCCTGAGTTAGAAAGCAGGAATAGTCGGGGTACTCACATCGGGTTTGTTGGGAGAATTAAATATAGTAAATACCAGCTGTTGTCAAGCGTGGATATTAGTGCGTTCTGCTTACTGAATGGTTTGCACCGCTTGTTTTGCTCGATATACATGAAAAGAGAAATTTAGGGTTGAAGCCGGTTTTCCTGAAAAAAGGGGTTAAAATGTTCATAAGAAGTAATAAATACTCAATGAAAAGATTGTAAATCCAAAACTACTTGATTTGAGATTAGGACAAAGTAATAACTGACGATTTTGTGTTTCTTTAAAAGTTTCAAGTGTTGAGTACCTGCCTCCATCTAATTCCCTCAACTGAATATAATAAAATTTAACTTTAAGTTCACACTTATATTATGCTTTTGAAATTACCTTTGACCTAAAATAGATTTTACTGTGGGCAAGTGAAACCTGTATATAGTTACCTTATTTGTTTAAACCAGGTAAGCACCAAAAAAAAGAGGTAAGTACACTTAATACCTTGTAAACTTAGGGGAGGGTTGCTAGTATTTTTGGCTAAGGTCAAGACTGTTAACTTCTTAAAATATAATTTTCGTTACTGTGTTAAAATTGTGGAACAATAGTTCCCTCTAAAACCTTAAGGATCTAGGATTCTTAGAGGATGGGTAGAGGCAGTTTCTGTCTTTTGTCTCTATCCTAGTGTCAAGTAAGAAGGGGACCAGTAAGTGTTGTCGCACTGGAATTCAGCCACCGCACCCCCTCTAGTCCTATGGCCCTGGACTTCTCAAGCAGCTTTCTTTTCTTGTTACCTTATTATAACCTCCTAACTGACCTCTCACTATTTGTTTGGCCGTAATCCCCACCTTCTCCTAATTCATAAAATAAAGTTTTGTTTTATAGCAAATTCAGTCCTATCAGATGTGCTACTTAAAATCCCTGGCGTTCCCCACACCCCTCCCCAGGACTCCCTGGGGTGCGGTTCTCACTGCCTCCCACCTGCTCTCATGCTCCTCCGTGGAAGCCAGAATTCCAGTCTTACTTACCTGCCAGGACTCTTCCCCAGTGTCGTGTCTGTTTTATAGTACTTACTGATTTTTCTCCTTTCCTGTGCTAACCTTTGGAAGTATTCGAAAAACCTTGGCCAGGTCTTCACTCTTTTCTTTGCCCTCCTCACTCCTACCCATCCCACACCAGGTAAAAATGACTTCTCCCTCTTTTGTGCCTATAGGACTCTGTGTATTTCTTCAGTTTAGCACTTACCACACTGCGCTTCATTACTGGTTTAGTCTTCCTACCCGACGCTCCTTGAGGTAGGGAACATTGTTAATTTTTGTCTCCCTCCTTAGAACAGTGTCCTACCCACAATAGATCCTCAGTGAATATTGGTTGAAGGAGTGGTTGGTTAATTCTTAAGAAACTATATTCTATTTAATCATAATTGTCCTCAAATAATCTTAAGGTATGGATTGATTGGGAAATTAAATATAATTTGAAAAATATTCCTTTATTAAGTAAATATTTATCTACTAGCTAAGATCTGGAGTTATAATAAACATTTTAAAATATGGTCCCTGTCTTCAAAATTCTCACAGCAGACGTAGGAAACAGGAAAGCATGCATTTATCAAAGTGCTTTTAATATCTCATTTGCTATTGAGGCATCATTGGAATTTGTTCCCAGGACAACAGATAAAATGAATACTTATACATACCAGTGGGCTTCATATGTTTTCCAAAAATGTTATTGACAGTGAAATTAAAACCTGGATTCTTAATGTGTGAGAAGGACCAAATTCCTGTTAGAATCTAAACTGATGGTTTCTTTTTGTTAGACGCTTTTCCTTCCGTCCGGAACCAGATCCTTACTGTCAAGCTAAATATACTTTCTGTCCAACTGGCTCACCTATCCCAGTTATGAAGGGTGATGATGTCATTGAAGTCTTTCGGCTACAAGCCCCAGTGTGGGAATTTAAATATGGAAACCTTCTGGGACATTTGGTAAGGCTGCATCTTGCTCTCATAATTTTAGTTAATTGAATGACTTAATTATCAAGTGGATTTGAGGGAATAATCACTATTCAACGTGCTGATTAAAATGAGTAGTCAAAAAAATATTACTGGGTTTTGTGATCTTGACAATAACAAATGGAGTTGCTTACATCCCTTTTAATATTCCTTATCCAAACCCAACTCCTGTACCCGGCTCCTGGAAAGTAAGAAAGGGAGAGGCTCAGAGGAAGCAGCAAGGCAGGTGGGAAACACTTCATTTCCCATCCCTGTCATACACACTTTTCCCAGGTTAGCTCACCATTTCAGCCTCTCACCTTGTGAGGTACATGGTGTTCCTTCCTGAGCCTACGGCACGAGGGTTCTCCTACTCATTCTGAGCTCTAAGGAAATTATGAGCATGTCCACATAGCATTCATCCTTACTGAAATGAGCTTCAGTGGCCAAAACCAGAGTGGATGAGGGCCAGAAGTTTGAGGAGCCAGAGTGGATGTGAGAATACCAACAGGAGAGAGGACCAGCTGAGCACTTACTCTACTTCATGTGCAGTGGTGGTGTATCACATTTTCTCCCATCTGGTGCTGAGACCAGTGGCTACTGCACAGATGCTTTTATAAATGTATGATCTTTACACAGAAAATTATGCATGATGCCATTGGGTTCAAGAGTACTATAACTGGCAAGAACTACACAATGGAATGGTATGAGCTTTTCCAGCTTGGAAACTGCACATTTCCCCATCTGCGACCTGACATTAATGCTCCTTTTTGGTGTAATCAAGGAGCTGCCTGCTTTTTTGAAGGAATTGATGATGCTCACTGGAAGGAAAATGGGACATTAGTTCTAGTAGCAACCATATCAGGTAAGTTTAAAAAACATTGCAGTATTCAATGATTGCATCAGCATCCAAGGGAAAGAAATTATTTTCATTGAGGCATTTCAGTAATGTGCTACTTTTTAGAGGTTAACTTATAAAATGTACTTCTGGAACCACTAACTTTTGACCCACACTATTACTCATGTAAAACTTCACCTACAGGGGATAAATAGCCTAGCTCCTCTATTCCCACGAAAAATGAATGAAACGATAAACTGCTTTCTGCAGTTTAATTGGACCTTCTAAATAAAGTAGTACTGGGAAATCCATAAAATGCCTGAGAAAATAATATTAAAGGACTAATTAGTATCTTAAGAAAGACTTGCAGTGATGATAAATTAAAATGCTTTTGCATCAAGAAATAACAAGCTACCACTCACGTGGACATACTCTGGGCCTGGCAGTATTCTGAGTACTTTACACGTCACATCATTTATTATCACAACAACCACAAGATAGTTACTGTTATTTTCCCCATTTTACATGGAGAAACTGAGGCACAAAGAAGTGAATAATCACACAACTAATAAATGGAACTCTTAACCCTGGCTGTGAAGCCCTGTTGACCATTTTCTTAACTACTTCACTACATTGCCTCTCACAACACATATAATCTTATGCATTTGAGGCCCCTTAAGCAATTTAAATGTTTTATTGCTGAGATTTTCTATTATTTTGGATATATTGGAAAGTTGTTTTGAAACAGTTGGAATTTTGCTGCATGTGTGTGGAAGAACATTAAGACCAGTATCTCTGTTCTAAGAGTATAGGCTTCATATTATTTCACAATTTTAATTTCATAAAAGTAATAAGGACAGCCACTCTGTTCATTTCATATGACATGAATTATTTAATGAACTCAATTTGGAGCAACCTAAGAAATGTTCACACACTGTGACAAACTAAATATTGGGGCCAAGCTCTATTAGGCATTATAAAGGCCCAGTGAGGTTTGTAACCATGCAGAATATGATGTCTTGTTAATGTTTGGAGAGAGTCCTTGGTTTGGTACAAGCTAATAGGAGAGAGAGAGATATTCTGGAGTGTATAGTCTACGAACTTGACTAAAAACATTTCCAGCTTAACTGATTCATTGGAAGAATTTGTGTGGTGGGTTTGAAGGCTATAAGCAGAATCTCAGCAACTACGGAGAGAAAAGGGAAATACTGAATATTAAAGGTGGTTGGTGTTTAGTGCTTTTGCTAGTAACTAACAGTAGGCCAGCCTTCTAGTTCTGTTCATACTGTATGCGTACCATACTTTGCAACAGAAAAGCTCATTTCACCCACCTTAATTCTTGAACTGTCTTTGCCCCATTCACTTCATTTAGTTTTTCCCTTGCTTGCTGTCTTTTGCCTCTGACGATTTGTTGAGTTGGGTAGAGAAAGAGGGCTTCTGCATGTGTATAATTTTGCTTTTGACTATGGTTTAAATTACAGAATTAGTATGTAAGACATCTCTTTATACACATCTAATGTTTACAGTTCAGAAATACCTTGTGCCCTGAGGCACAATAAAAATTGCCTGAGCTTGGATTCCTATTATAAGATGCAGATTTAGAAATTTAAAAAAAATTTATTATCCATGTATATTCATGGCCTTAATCAGGTTAGAACATTTTACTTACAACTACCATGCATGATGAGGTTTGATGTTCACAAAGGTTTTTGCTTTTTGTTCTGTTTTAACTAGGGAACACATTTAACAAAATGACCAAGTGGGTAAAGTGGGACAATGAAACAGGGATTTATTACGAGACATGGACTGTCCAAGCCAGTTCAGAAAAAGGGGCGGAGACATGGTTTGAATCCTACGACTGTTCCAAATTTGTATTAAGGACATATAAGAAGTTGGCTGAACTTGGAGCAGAGTTCAAGAAGATAGAAACCAACTATACAAGAATATTTCTTTACAGTGGAGAACCTACTTATTTGGGAAATGAAACATCTGTTTTTGGGCCAACAGGAAACAAGACTCTTGCTTTAGCCATAAAAAAATTTTATTACCCCTTCAAACCACATTTGTCAACTAAAGAATTTCTGTTGAGTCTCTTGCAAATTTTTGATTCAGTGATTATACACAGACAGTTCTATTTGTTTTATAATCTTGAATATTGGCTTTTACCTATGAAATTCCCTTTTGTTAAAATAACATATGAAGAAATCCCTTTACCTAGTAGAAACAAAACACTTTCTGGTCTATAAAACCTTAGTTCTACTGTTTTTTTATCCTACACCAGCATATTGATTTTTAGGGAGTGGTTTTACATTTGTGGATTTCTTAGGCCTTTCTTCTTTGGAGCAGAACAGTAAAATGCACATGGGTGTAATTGCTGCATAGCACCATCTCAGGACTTTTCTTTTTAAAGGAGCTAAAACTCTTGTTATATTGGCCTCACTGTATGTGAGCACGTTAGGTGATCTTGATTTTAATCTGCAAGCCTTTGTTAATATAAATTATGGTTCACAATCAGATTTGTAAGATCTTTTGGCACAATATCTTTAAATGGTGGATATGATGTGCTGAGATTTAAAAAATACCCTCAGTGACATTTTCATGATGGGAGCTACTTTTTTCTGTTATAGTAGTTGTGCTTTCTCATTGAAGTACTTTTTGGTAGTTTATCACCTGACTTTACAGCTTTGGAACAAGGTCTAGTAGCTTGATTTTGTTGCATTTACTTAACTTTTAAGACTAATTTGGACACATAGCTGGAGTGATTGTGGTAAATCCATGTGCTAAAGACAGTATTAGAAAGCGCTACTTTCTGGCATTTTAGAACGAGCCAGTAAACTCCTATTTTGTGATTTAAGCAGCTTAACATCTCTGAATGTTAGTTTCCTCATCTCTGAGATAATTCATCTGTCAGGATTGTTGTAAGATGGAAGAAGCCATCTGTTTGGCATTGTAAGGTACAGTAAGGTCACAGTAAATGGTAGCTGTAATGATTAATCAAAGAACAAAACTACCATCCTTGATCTTGTTTAATATAGTTCATGTGCCAGTCTTTTCTGGGTTTTGTAATAATCACCTAGACTTTGAGCTGATAGCATAGCACTTCTAGTTCTTCAAACATACAGGGCATGGAAGTATCTGGCTACAGACATGTCTGGGTGAATGGGTGCCCTCTGACTCCCTCACTGCTTCGTGTAGTCCTCCCTCTGCCCACTAAAGGTGCCAGCTCAGTTGAAAGGAGGTGGATTTCCCAGAAAAAGGCTTATGTCAAGGATCTCCAAGTAGCCGTGTTCCCATTAGGGCCATCAAACAAGCTTTCAAGGGCCTTGAAAAATACCAGTCAGTAAGATTATAAAGCAGAGACAATCTGTGTTTAATATGTAAAGGTTCCAATTATATAATTCAGTTTTTAATGTTTGAGTGCTTCCTGAGATGTTATATCAGTGAGTTCTCATAAAAAGCCTGATCATAGATCTTACCTAATTCAAATGAGTAAACTGGGGCTTAGAAAGGTTAAGTGACCTTTCCACGCTACCCAGCTAGTGTAACGGAGCCACATTTTGAACCAGGTTCTGTTGGCTGAATGAGATGCACTGTCACACAAGTTTTTCAGCAAAGTGTGGTCCTCAGACAGATCCTGCAGCATGTTAGTAACACAGTTGCTGTGTTAGTAACACACTGTGAGGAGATAAGTATAGATACTGAGAGGAAGCATTTAGAAACTTTTAAAGCAACTTGTTAACTTTGTTTCTGTTGAAGCTAATAAAACTGGGGCTTGTATTTTGTGCGCATTTCTTTTGTTGCAGGAATTCACTTTTTTTCTTTTTCAAAACTGTAGGCACTACAGCAGTCTAAAAATACAGCCCTTTGCCAGGTAAGCTTGAACAGTGCTGCAATATTCTGCCTACTGCACAGTGGTAAAGCCTTATATAGGGAGAACTTTCACTGCCATTTAGCTTATCTACTCAGGTTAATAGTGCCTACACATCCCTAATAAATTTTGCCTCTTTAACGTGCTAGTTCTCTTCATAACATGTCACAAGAAAACTTGTATCTTTTCATTATCACCATCTAGTGGGTAAAACTGGGCAGTGCCAACTTTTATGTGATTCTCAGGAAAACTGCTCTGAGAAAACAGTATTTTGGATTCCCAGAACTGCAAGGGGGGTTAACAGCAAAATCTCTTGTGCCAAATTTGTGTTAACTATAAATCACAGAACTTGGTTCCACAGCAAAGACAAATGAGGACTATGTGGAACTTGACTTTTAAAACAAAATTCTACTAGTTTTGTTAAAAAATGCATTCAAGATTTTTCACTATTCCTAAAGATATTAATAAATGAAGAAATTCTGTGAGAGTAACATACAGACTCAAGTGACTACAGTACAGAGAGCATAGCATTCATGAAAGTACTTCTTCAGAATTTATCAAACCTCTCAACTGTACTTATAAGATAAAGCAGGGCTTTGGAGAACATGCTTTCCAGATGGCAGCTGGGAAACAAAAACATGGCAAGACAGGAATTTGCCACAAATTTTCTTCCATTTGAATGACTGTATAACTTAAAAGTTGTATGTACTTTAAATTGTAAATGTAGTTCAATTTCCTCAATTTCTAAGACAAACCATTTTGTTGAAGTTTGAAATATATTAGGGCTTTAGAATAAATGTATCCTCACTCACTAATTCTGGTTTAGTATTTAGGTTAAGTATACCCACAAAGTGTCATCAAATATATTTTTGTAGATACAGGAAAATAGTCAAAAGGTGAAAATAACTACTCAACTTCCAATATTTGGAACCCTCAATATTGGCCCTTTCTTAGAAATAAAAAAAAAAAGGCAAAAGACTTAGGAAATTCCATCCAGTTTTATATATATAACCTGCTCTGGTGGCACTTAATGAATTCTCTGGGACTCTAGTTCTTTTAAGGTTAACTTGACTTTTTAAAAGAAATCTTTGGTATGTTATACAAAGAAGAATGTCCCAAAACCACACACATGCTTTTTTTTCCCTCTTAACAGCCAAAAGCAAATCGGCTGGCCAAAGTTTGTTTCTAGCATCTTCCTCATATCTACCTTTTATTGTCAAGTCACTTCCTGCTCCTCACACTCCTACATTTTCTCCCCCGTTATAACAAGATAGGCTGACAATCTTATATTCCTTTACCAGACTGATTATGCTAAGGTTATGCTCTTATTTCACTTTCTGGAGTAAAAGGCTTGTGTCTTTTTTTATATATCATATGATGTATGTCATTTTTTAAAGGAAACTTGGGTGTCAGCAAGCACTTAAGTTTTTTCCCATTGGCTTGGTAACATTAAAACGATTAAAACATTAAAACGATTAAAACGATTGGTAACAAAAACATTAAAACGAGACCCACAGATAAAGTAGGACTGGAATCTGTACCAAGATTGCTCCCAGCTATGTATGGCGTAGAGCTTACTTATAGCTTTCTAAAGGACCTAGTTCAGACCTGAGCTTTCTTCACAGCAACCTCTCCCTTCTATCTTAAGGTGTTCCATAAATATAAAAAAAAACACTATTATTTGAATGCAGTAAATTGATTTAATCTTCATCCATACCGTTTTTTTTTTTCCCCAATAGTAAAATAGCCCAGATCACCAAGGTAAATTGAAGTTATTTTCTGGAAGTTGGTAAGATAGGAGATGAAAATAATTTCAAGAGTTTAGAAACTATTCTGATTATATGGATTTATATAAAGACATTTCTTTCTGAAAAAGGCTAGCTGGGTTCAAGGAACTTGACTAGGAATTCTATTATGAAATAATGTTTTATAAATTCTTATTCAAAATGTAAACGTATTCCTTATTTTAATTTAACCATTTGTTTTACAAAATTGGAAAAATTTCATTGTCAATTTTTAATTTCCTATCGCTTTAGATATCAGACCTAATTTCAAGAATAGATTCCATTTGCCTAATCTGGTATCTCTAGAAAAACCTTTCTACATAAACATTATTTAATATTAAATGTTATATATATGTGGATTTGGAACTAAAACCATGAATTTATAAAGTGGACTTGTTTTAAAATCAAAGTACATATATTAGGGTAGTTTTTAAAAACTAATACAACATTAGTAACTATCTTTATTCTCAAATTGGTAAAAGCATTTAACATGTACTTTACAGTATAAACAAATTAAGTGCTATGCATTTTGCTTGTAAATGATTTAAAGTGTTTCAGGCAATATATAATTTGTACAAAAAGTAAATTCCAAATAAAGCTTTGGTTAGAAGAACTGATCATGTACTCATATCTATTTTCCAAAATTGTTAAAGAAAAAAAAAAAACTTCATCCATTAACACAGGTATTTCTTATACAAAGCTTTTTTACTAAGAGGGGAAAATATTATATTAATTGCTTTTAATTCCCAAGTCTGGATCAACCTTTTTTCCTCTCATTTGTATGTGGCCAAAATACCATCATTTTTGACAATGATAAATTACGTAAAATATCACCAAATACTTTATTCTCAGGAAGGTAATCTATTTTAAAAATAGATTAAATCTGTAGGATTGTGAGCTTCCATAACTACCAAGATGCTTTCTAAAAAAGTTTCAAGCATTAATTGGGGGTAAATCACGTCTAATTTCCCTTAGGTTAATATCTACTAGGCACTAGTGCTCAGAATCAAAGTTTTATGTACCTAAAAAAACTAAATGTTGCCCCAAACTTAGTGTTTTTACAGAGTCTACAATGTATGGATTACCTTTATTCATATGAAAGTAATAAAAATGCTACCTAGCTTAAATAATATAAAATACCAGTTTAACCAAATTAACAATCACAAAACTGAAGACATTTTTCTATTAAATTTTCCAGTTCATTGAGCACTACTCAAAAATATGATTATGAACTTACATATATCCTCTTTTAATGTTTATGTTGAACTGTACATTGGTGCTCATGATTTCTGAAAATTCTACTTACATAACTATGTAATTCTAAAATGGAAAAAAGAGCCATCACGAAAATTCACTGGAGACTATAAATTATTTCCATGAAAGAATATTAGTCTATTAAACATTTTAAAATTCTACCCTTAATTATTTCAGTTTTGCTTTTTAAATAGATAAGCCTTTCATTTCAATTTGTATATTTCAAAACTAGTTTAAACAAAGATAAACAAAACCAAGGAGTACTGTTAAAGCATTCCTTACTTTATGTATGATGCCTCAAGTACCACATACATAGTAACATATCACACAAAAGAATTTAAATGGTTTAGCAGATTATAGAGCAAACCTAAAAGTTTATACAAAGCTAAACACTGTATTCCTCCTGTTTATTTTAATTTGATCTTGGCTCCATTTATTATCCTTCTATAATACCCACCGTGTGACATCAGTTTTCTAACTGTTCCAATTATTTATACGTACCTCTTTAAACAGCTTTGTAACATTTGAGAATATTCAACCAATCTTTTTCATTAGATATGATATATCCTACGTATTTCTCACAAAGTGCTCACTTTCCTGAGCTATATTAAACACCTTATAACAGGTGTATGTATAACTGAAAACCCTAAAATGTCAACTTTACATTTTTAATAAATGCATAGAGAACATAACATTTTGGAAAACCTATTAATACTTCTTGGATATTATAATATATAGGTTTTGTTTCCTTTAACTGTAAAATATTTAATCTTTATACCTGGTTATTAATTTCAGACCTGAACCACATTTAGAAAATCTTTTTCTGAAATTTGATTGTTATTAGGCTAAAGAAACAGATTTCTGACCCATGGATCTTCCAATAAACAATCCTTTTATAATGCTCAATGCAGGTATCAAATTTCCATGCCACAAAAGAGTAATATTACATCAGACCTACAGGAAATAAACTTTTATTATAATACAGTATGCTTAAAAGTTAAGGTGCTATTCATCATGCCCTACATCATTCTGTCTTTACCAAGTGGGCATCATGTCTGGGAACCACACCCTACCAAGATGCTTGGACACCTCCCAGTGAATCTGCTCCAAACTATACTTCTGGTCAGGAATTAATACTTCCTCCATAATGGATAACTGAGACAGGCGGCCACCGCACATCTTCACAAACTCAACAAAGGCACTGCAAGAGACTTCGCATTCCCCTAGTCCAATAGCTGACAGATTTTTGCAACGTTCTGCAATGCGAATTAACTCTTCATCAAGTGGCCGTAATCCATTAGCACACACTACTAGTTCAACTAGTCTAGGGCATGTCATTCCCACACGGCCAAGCACATCTTTGCTTACTGATCTCCCAAAGTAAAGATGGGTGGCAGGTATTTCATACCGAAAGAATGGATCAAATTCCTCTTCGTATAAAAAAAAATACATCACTAAGTTCACTTTGGGTGAATGTCTGATGAAAGCATCCCAGCTGCTCTTCTGAATGGTATGGAAGTGTGTTTGTCCAGGATTCTCACTGACTACATCAATGCGCAAATGTTCTAATCGAACATGTTTTTCAGAAGATAAAGCAAGCAGCAATTCATCACTTAATAAGTGGTAATTCAGGGCCAGTTCACGTAAGCCATGACACTGATCAGCCACACAGAGAATACCTTGAAAGAAAAAAGACCTAATTATTTACAAACTTCTATACAAATTTACCATCTGTTCAAAACTTAATCAATTCAAGTACATATCCCACAATAAAATTTACCATTATTTCCTTTCCATTACCACAAAGATATACAATTTAAAATTCAGTTGTATGGCTGAACTAGCAGAAAGTTACAAACATTTAAAAGTCAATTACTATTTTGTCTACAAGAAAATGAGACCGATTCTAAATCTGATACCTTAAAAAAAATGCTCAATTATCAACTCAGAAAAGTTATCAAATATTACTAAATAACTTTATCATTTGAAAATATACCACGATTAAGGTTTATATTCATGGACAGTATCGTATTTTAAAAAAAAGCTGGTTAGTAACACTAAACTTACAGGTTAAGCAAGAAAAATTATGTGATCATTGCTACAGAAAGCCAAAGGATATTTAAAAAAATTTAAAACCTAATCCTAATAAAAAAGGTAAAACCAAATAAAATGTGATTCATGTAACTAAAACTTATGAAAAATAAAAATATTTCCACCAAATGAGCAACAAAGAGTTTTTAAGTGCTCAAGTGCTTGTCAAATGTCCAAGAAAAATATACCAAGATACCACTAGATTAAATGAGTCAAAAGGTAACTACCTAATTCACATATTAATGGAAATAACACAAAACTTTTAAAGTTCTAACATACCCAGAAAGCAGTTCTGTAAAAGGTTCTCTATAATAAGGGCACTATGCTTCAAAACTGCCCCAAGCCCCCTAACAGCACATGGTTTTACGAAAGGTCAATATCTGACCTCTGAGGCAGCCAAGGTTAAGAACTCTGCCCCAGACAGACCCTATACTATCCGATTAAATGACACACTCCATTCTTCATTTGCATTAGAAACGACGACAGCAACAGGAAAACACATTATCTACTATTTGCTGTACAAGATGTTAGGTTCTTGGGATGTTATTCCACAGATACTCAGAAAAATCTAGAAAAGTTAAGTATTTCTATTTTGAAATTGAGGCAGTTAGCTAAAGGCAGCAAAGCTGGAATTCAAACACAGACTGAGTGACTCTTCATGTGCTTAACTACTTAAGTGACAAGACACAGGCTACTAAAAAGCCAAAGCTTCAGGGCAGTGGGAAGATGACAGAGCCAACAGACTCAGTGAAAAGATAAACTGAATCACCAGTGAGAGTCACCAGAAGAGGGCTAAAAATGGTATCTGTGCTTCACTATTCAGCTACTGCAATTTCTATTTTCCACAAGGCATGTCTGTATTTTGAAATACACCGTGATCACCCAAGGTAACCAGAGCATCTCTGTTCTTTGCAATCTCATAAAGCCTGATACAAAAAGAAAACACATACGAAATGTTAACTGAAGATGCATATTTTAGACCTATACATATTAATGACATGAGACAGCACTGGATAACTACTAAGTAGTTGTGGCAAGCATAATTCTAAAAGCAGTTCCCAAGATTTCCTTCCTGGAACCTCTAAATGTGGTATGACATTACTCCCATGATTATGTTATGTAGCACAGGTGGTTTTAAAATAATATTATGAAGGTGGTTCTAATCTAATTGCATGAGCCTGCTAGTGCTGAGTTTTTCTCTGGCCTGTTGCAAAAGAAGAAGTCAGATTGAGAGCTTCTCTGGCCAAGCAGAGAAGCCAGCTTAGCCATGCCTAAAGCTCCGCCCTACAGAACTGTGGCACTACTAAGCAGGTGTTGCTTTAACCTGCTGTACTGGTAGTTGTTAGTTATACATACTTACAAGTGTTTAAGTACTTAACACAAAATAGTGACAAAGATAAAACTGGTAACTATTACAACTCAATAATAAAAGTCAAATAACTGAAACATAGGCAAATGATATGAATAGACATTTCTCCAAAGAAGATATACAAATGATCAATAACTACATGAAAAAGTATTTGAGTAATCAAGAAAATACATATCAAAACCACAAGGAGATACCAGTTCATACCCAATTGAATGGCTATAATCAAAAAGACAAATTAACAAGTGGTGGGGAGGATGCTGAAAAGCTGGAATCCTCATACACTGCTAATGGAAATATAAAACAGTGCAGTTGCTTTGGAAAACAGTCTGGCGGTTCTTCAAATGGCTAAACAGAGTTACTATATGATTCAGCAGTTCCACTTCTTGGTAGATATCCAAGAGAAATTAAAGCATATGTTCACACATTATAGCAGCAGTATTTTAAAAAAGTGGAAACAACCTAAATATCCATTGACTGAACTGATCAACAGATGCAACAGGATATTTGGTAATAAGAAGAAATGAAATACTGATACATGCTTGATACCATAGTTGGTAGTATTATAAATTCATACAACTCATTTGGCGGGGGAGGAAACACACCAAGAAGCATAAAAAAGATCCAAACCCTTAAACCTAGTTCTTTCATTTCTTAATAATTTATCCTCAGGAAGTAATTAATAGAAGTACACTGCTATGTGCCAAAATAGTTAATTTTTTAATCACAGCAAAAATGTGGAAACAAGTGTCCAACCTTAAAAGAGCTTATATCAGCAAATGTTGGCTTATCAACAAGACAGACTACCAAGTAACTAAATGTCCATTAGTTCAGCTGCTAATAAATGAGTGTCTTGCATGCCAAGCACTGGTGCCAGGATGGTAAAGGAGTAAGAAAAACATCCTTATCCTAATAGAAGGCAGCAGATAATAAAACAAGAATGTCCTAAGAGTCAAAAGGGAATCAGTGAAGATTTCCCAGAACTAACATAGTGAGACTTGAAGAATTAGAAGAATCAAGCTGGGACAAAGCTGAGTGGAGAAGGAAAGTAAATCGTGTTTTCTGTGTGAACACCCCGACATGAAAGAAAAAACAAATGTTCTAAACTGAAGAGTGTAACTCACAATATGCATGTAAGAGAGTATCTAACAGTAGGCAAGGGCCAGATTGTATGGGACCATGTCAGCCTCGATAAGGAGTTTGGCTCTTAATCAGAAACATAGTGAGAAGTTTTGAAGGAAACTGGAGAAAAAAAAATCAGATATACATTTTAGAAAGATTACTCTGGATGTAGCATGAAATTAGATTAGTGAAGAGCAAGGGTGCAGGTTAGGAAATCAGTTGTGAGGGTACTGCAGAAGATTTTGGGGGCCTGGAGTACAGTAGTAAGAGTGGAGATGAAGAAAGGTACAGTGTCTTAGTCAGTTTGGGCTGCTGAACAGTGTCATAGATGGGTGGCTTAAACAATAAACATTTCCCACAGTTCTGGAAGCTGGAAGCCTAACATGAGGGGACTGGGCATGGTCAGGTCCTGGTGAGAGCCACATCTCTTCCTGCCTTGCAGATGGCGACCTTCTCACTGTGCCTTCACATGGCAGAGATATCATCTCTCTCCTGTCACTTCTTATAAGGTCACTAATTCCATTTATGAGGATTCCACCCCTATGACCTAATCACCCCTCAAAGGCCCCACCTCCTAATATCACTACATTGGGAAATAGAGCTTCAGTATATGAATGAGGGCAGGTGGAACAACAGAAACATTCAGTCCACAGCATAGATATCAAGGCATACTTCAGTGATGGAGTCACCAGCCCTTGGTGACTAAATGGATATAGCTAAAGTAAGGATGGGAGGAATTAAGGGTGTCTGTCAGGTTCCAGAAAACTAGATGGACTCAATGACATAGTAAAAAAGGAAAAGCAGATTTTGGGAAAAATAAGTTCATTAGTCTGAATTATCAGTGAGACATTCTAGAGGCACTGGGCCACTGGCAGCTTAACACATAGCTCTGGAGTTCCAGAGACACCAAAAGTAGAAGGTATTTACATATAGAACATAACTGAAGCCACAGATGACAATGATACAACCCAGAGTTTACACAGAAAAAAAGACCAGTACAGAACACAGTGAAACATTAAATTTTAAGAAACAGAGAAGCCAACAAAGGAAACAGAGTTGGAACAATCAGAGAAGAAGGAAAAATCAAGAATATAGTATCAAGCAACAGTCACTAGTGTCAAACAGTACCTTCAGGCCCAGGAAGATGATTACAAGGACTACATGAAATGGAAAAAAGTTTGATAAAATGTTCAGAGAACAAAGTAGAAAACAGCCCTCAATTTTATCTTAAAAAAAAGAAACTGTAATATGCAAAGTATGGGTAGAAAGAAAATACATGAATATGTTAAATTCTAAATTAAAATCTATAATTACATTCTTAAATTAAAAAGTACTATAAGTTCTCTTACTATAAGTTCTCTTTCTCTTCCCCTCCCAATTAGTCCAAAAGTCATTAGATAAGACCAAGTAAGCTTATGCTAGACTATCAGAATTGATGTGTACATTTAATAAAAATAAACAAACATAGGATGTACCAGGATAAAGAGAATAATGAACTGACAGTCACAGAGAGAAACCAGAAACTTGTAGTAAGTACTACAAGTACGTTCAGAGTGCTATGAAAACCACAGGTAGGGGATCTAAACCAGATGGGCAGAGGAAACAGGAACAAAACTGGAAGACTTGAGCTGAATTTTGAAGGCTGGGCTAAGGTTAGCTGGATGAAGGAGGAGGAAAAAAAGATCATCCACAAGGTATAGTATATTGGGCACACACAGAGGTACAAAGAACTGTAGTTACATAGTGCTTATGTAAACTGTAGTTATGTAGAGCTTATGTAAAAGCTACTCTGTGAGTAACAAGATTAGAGAGGTGAAGATCAGGAGACAAAGGACCTTGTACACTCTGAAGTTGTGAAGTATGAACCTTACTCTCAGAGCAAACCTATACAGTACATAGTAAAATGTGACCAAGGTCACACAGCAAGTTAACTGCGAAAGCCCACTCTTCTCAACTTCTATTTTATTTAGATTGTCATCATCACTGATAGTCTAGAGGTGCCCAAAGAAGCTAGGAAAATAATGGAATAGACCTAGCCATGCCCATAACCAAGGCTCTCCATGTAGGAGACTTGGGAGAATGAGCAAGTAATCTTCACCCAAGAGAGAATCATTTTTGGGAGGAAAAGTCAGGCTTTAGTTATGTCCAGAAGATAGGAAGTGCTCTGTAGAGAGATTGGGATTTAACATTGTCTCTTAAAAGACAGGTTTCCCAAATAACACAGCTGAAGCACTTGGGGAGGGATGTCAGCAGTGGGATGATGAGTCAGCAGTGAGACAGTAATACTAAGTGTGGGTTCATACTTACAACACAAACCATTTGGAATTAAATGACCTCAAAATGAATAATTTAATAATGCTTAGAACATGCTATACAAGATAAGTTGGGAAGAGCTTTTATAATGCTATTCACCCATTTGATGGGCTCCTGGCTCCAAAATTCAACTTAGGAAAAGCATTAACTTGCAAAATGAAAGGCAACAACTTTACCACAACTCTTCTCCCTCTATAAAGTGAGAAGAAAAGTAACTATGAGATTGCTCTGACTCAAAATCTACCCTGTTAGCTCAACTGCAATTAGAGAAAATTCTATTTCATCTAAAGAGGTACCGCAGGCAGACCTCATACTGCCCTGTCCTTGTATTTTTATTTTTAATTTATTCATTTTCTAGCACAGATTGGACATAAGTTGCCAAATAAGGAGATCAGAAAATAGTTGAAAGTGTTTAGGCAAGGAGTGCTACAGAACTCAAGCTATGGTATTATGACATGAAAAATATTTTTATGCCAAGAAAGTAATCATATTCACCCCTTTCAACATTAATGATCACAATTTTTGTTAATTTGATAAACAAATCAATATATTTTACTGAAGTGTTATCTGGTGAAAAAAAAAAAAACAACTACAACATACCTGCTGGAGAGACATGAGGACAGCTGCTCATTTTTAGCAGCTTGAGTGTGTCACTGTTGTTGGCCACCAGTACTTTGAGGGAGGGATCATCCACTGGGGTATCATCTATCTTAAGTGAGGACAAGGATTTGGAGTTTACAAACACAACTGTCAGTGCAGAGATAAAGTGAGACTGAAAAGCAAAAATATTAAAACATTGTTTCAATTTTTACAAATAAGAATTGAAAGGTTTTCATATAAATACACATATGGTTCATCTGAACCCCAGCAATATATTCCTTAACTGTAAGGGGTAGCATCCCATCAGCCTGTTGTTAGAAGTATGGTAAAAAAGACAGGTCAGTATCTGCCATCTTCGAGAAGAGTCTTTTTACATGTGTGGGTGGGGGAAGATTTCAAGCCTCAGGATGAGGGTCTCTAAATCACAAAAATTACTGGTAAGTAAAAAGAGGAATTATGGAATCCAGGATAATAGTGCTTCTCAGACACTTCACATCACCTTATCTGGAAACCCTACTCTAGTGTTATAGTAATAACTTAGCATAATCATTACAAATTAGAATAACAAGCAATTTGGAAGCTACAGAAGACTTACTGAAATACAGAAGCTTATACAAAATTGGATTCTAAAATAACCAAAATCATAACTGAAATCCCAAATTTAAAATCCTATAAAAGTTATCTACAATATTTTCAAGCCTACTTTAATGTATTTTTTCAGAAATGTGCCAATTATTATCACTTTTTTGTATTCACATTTATTATATACACATTTATTATATACATACAAGTATTTGTTAGATACGGGATCCGACCTAAAGGAACCACTGTAGAGAAGCAGGAATTAAAGCATGGTCAAAGTATGCTTGGGATCAGACTCTGAATCAGAGCAAAGCAGCCATAAACCAATAGACAAAGAATCCAGGTACACAGAGCCAATGCATGCTCCAACAACTTCCCATATGTAACCAATTCATCCTCCACTTAGTTTTAGAGCTTCACTACAGCAGTGAAAAGAGCTAAGGGCAAGCTAACAGCCAAGACAGGACAATAAAACACTAATGTTCTTGATCACTTTTTTGTCTACTGTGATTAAATAATAGGTTAAAGTTTGATTAAGTCAACTTTACCTTCTTAAATATTAACATCTTCCTCCTAATATTTTTAGATCATACTCGTTTTATACAATCACACTTTGTCATTAGTATACTCGTAACTGCACCACTGCCTTCTTTTTCCCATTTTCCTCAAATTTATCTCTGGTCAAATATACTGTTTCCACATTCTTTTCAGTTCTCCCAGATTTCTAGAATATAGCAACATCCTGTTTCTATCTTCTACAAAAGCCATAATAGGAAAAAAACCCAGAAGAGCAGCAAAAGCATCCTCAGCCTGGTTAATAAGGAAGCAGTTCTAGATGGACTAACAGTTCCCAAAGGCTTCCCAAAGGCAAAACTACTACATGTAAGCACAGTACTAGTACTAGAGATGCATAATGATAATCCCACGTGATAAGTAAAAAAGGAAATTATGCTCACCATACCTTAATAAGGTATGTTTTATATGTACTGTATATATATTGTTTTTTTTAGCTATGTCAGTACACAGAAAATCAAGTCACAACACTTCATTTCCCATGTAAAGCTTGAACAAGGTGCTACCACACATATAACTCAGTGTTCCTTAGAGTGAGGCCCTTGAACCATTTTCATCTGAATAACCTTGACTGCTCTTACTTAGGAAGGGGAAATTTGGAATAGGGATAGTAGTCCAAAATTTGAAGTTCCTCACATTTTTATTATGCACATCAAGTTTGAGAACCACAGTCATCTAACTCATGTGCATAAAATCTTAAAATGTTGAAATAAACACAGATTGTCTTGCCCAATTCCCTATTTTACATACGAGGAAAACATTTTATCTCAAATACATACATTTAATGAACTTTAAAAAAAAATCAGTTTAATATGTTTTCTACCTTTATCTTGTATCTACTTACCACTTCAGCATTTTATTAAAAATAATAATAGAGAAATGTGATATCCACATATAAATCAAGTATAAAAATCAAATGAGTATTCATATTTGAACTGACTGTTTATAGTTGATAATGCATGAGCAAAACCGAAAGCTTCTGTGATGACTGCCCTTGTAATGTTCACCATGTTACTTATTCACTATGTAAGAATTTGTTCTCCATGTAAGAACTTGTTCGTTATGCTTCAGAAGAATGGAAACTGAAGAAAATTAGGCTTGGGGTGGATTAATGATTGTGCATTGAACACTGACCCCCCTATACAGAATTTTATTGTTGTTAACAACCATTTGATCAATAAATGAGAGATGCCCTCACAAAAAAAATATATACACACTTCCAATTGTAAAATAAATAAGTAACCGGGATGTAATGTATAGCATAAGAATATAGTCAAAATATTGTAACAACTTGGTATGGTGATAGCTGGTACCTAGAATTATCATGTATATAAATGTTGAATCACTGTGTTGTACACCTGAAACTAATGTAATACTGTGTGTCAACTACCCTTCAATAAAAAATAATTATCTAAAAAAAAAAATCAGTTTAAGACTTTGAAATCAATGGTGATATACTTGTTACTGATATTCCTTTGAACCACCTGGTTTATCATATACACTCAATTTAGTCATTCTAGTAAACTGTTAGGTGTTTAAAGAAGTATATTTTAGTTTCTGTCTCAAAAAACCTTCAAATTACTGTTGGATAGTAACCTATTGAACATTAACATACTTAGGGGACTTTATCAGTTCCTTTCTAAAAAGGCACACTGTTCACTTTTTATTTTAAGAGAACAGTTATGAGAGAGAATATCCATAGTTAGATGCAGGATCATGTTAGAACATACATGATATAAATTAACTCTTTAGCAAAAAAACAGTTGTCTTTAAAGTCTGTAAATTAATCCAAGCTGTACTGATCCTAACTTTGCTCAAAAATACATCTTTACACACTTATGAGAAGATTTTATAAGAGTAAGCTACACCTGACACTTTTCTGTGATTGTAATTTCACCAATCTGCTCTGAAATTTCAAAAAGGAGCATCTATATGGCTCTTTTCTCTACCATGCTTGTTTCTCAGTTTTACTCATTTATTCTTTTAGAACTTCCTACAAAATCCTCTCCGAATTCATTCCCCCTTTAACCTTACCCCTAAAGCACAAGGTGACAAAAAAAAGCAAAAGCTTTTTAAAAAAATCCTATTGCTTAACATTCTAAATAGTAACTAGTTTTCCATTATACATAACTACTTTTCTTATACTCCTATTGTCAGTAAAAGAAATGGGTAGGATATCACTAGATTTCTCAATAACATCTAACACAACAAACCCAGCAGATACCTTTGGTAAATCCATAAAGCTTGGCCGAGCAGTTGAAATAAGACCAAGTGTTTTTAAAGAGCAATTCACAAGTTGCGATAATATATCACAAGCTGCTTCAGCTGATTCTTTGCTGCTGTCCACCTTAGAAAAGAAAACGTCGTTACACATGCACATATTTACATTTTTTGTGTGCGTACCTCAATTTTACAGAAACAAGAAACAGTTACTAGTTTATTGCATTATAATTTAAATAATTATTATTATTTTAATCATCCACTCTCACATACAAAGTCAGCCTTTTCTGAGTCTCCCTAAAAAATTACAAAGGCTGTCAAGACTTAACTTTCATTATGATTAAGATATATATTTAATGATAAAAGGACTTGGCTTTTACGTTGATTTATGCCAAACCAACTATATAATATATATCCCTATGAATACATGAATTTAAAGTATTATTTGAAAAATGATGCTATGTTTGGTAGTGGATCCAATCACACATGTAAATACAGTGTCTATGGTATACCTTTCAAGATAACAGAAACTGAATGAGTATTTACTCAGAAAGTGCAAATGAACCACAACTTAGGGTTCATCATTAATGTAATTAATGGAAAGATGAATGTGAAGCAAAATGAGGGCCTCTAACTAGTCAAGCATAAAAATCTGAACCAAGTGAGACACAGCTGCTCCCAGGCACTCTTCTGCTGAGAAATTTCCTGGGGGAAGGGTAAAGTGGCAAAAAACTCAAGGATAAAAGGAGGAGCTCTTTTATCAAAACAGAAGTTGTTCCCTAGGCTACAAAGCATCTTACAACAGAATAGTTAAATATCATTACTTTAATTTCCAGACTGATGCACATTACCTGAACCCAAAAATGTTCTGAAGAGCTAGTTGTAAAACTGATGCACTGATTCATAATACTTTCAGAGCTGTCTATAATTTTCTCCTTTGGCTATGTTTTTCTATACCAGTGGTTCTCAAAGTGAGGTTCCAGGCCAAGCAGCATTAACATCACTTGGGAACTTGTTAGAAATGCAAATCCTCATGCCCAACCCAGACCATCTGCAACAGAAACTCTGGGGATAGGACCCAGCAATCTTTGTCTAACATGCATTTCAGGTGTTTCTGATACAAAGTTTGAGAACTGTTCAACACTAATAATTCTGACTACAAACCTCTTTGGTTTACAGTCAGTGATGATTAAACACAAATATCAAAAGAACTCAAAAAAATCCTATGATGTGGCTCTTTCTGCAAATCAGAAATTATTTCCTCAGGAAAATTGACAATCCCTAATAAAAATGTGTGAAGTTATAAGACAAGTCCTTTTGTGAGGGTTATGCAAGTTGGACACAGCTGAATTGTGTCACAAGACTATAGAAAAGTGACCCAGCCAATCCACTGGTCCCATTGGACAGAACTGGTCTTTAAGACCCATGGGATCAACATACTACACTAATTTTTAAATAGGATTTACCATTATAACCTCCCAGACAAATCAAGAATGACAAACTAAAGGGAAGGCTCTCCAGGTTTTTCCACAGGAAGGTGAGGAAGGGAAAACACATGAGAAGTTCATAGAATTTCGTGTTTGATTCTCCCACCACATGCCCCCAGTTAGGGTTTCCAGATAATTCACAAGACATCCAACTAAATAAATACTAAGTATGTCCCAAATAATGCATAGGATGTATTTATACCAAAAATTTGTTGATTATCTGAAATTCAAATATAACTAGGAAGCCTCTATTTTTATTTGCTACACCTAGCAATTTTATTGCCAGTGGCCCGAGTACATTTGTGCATTTTTTCTCAGAAGACAACCATAATACACCCAACCATTCCCCTCAGCAAACTCTCCTCCTCAGATACATATGAGAGAACAAGCACGTAATCTCCATCTAAGAAGGAAGGATATTCTTGGGAGCAGACAAGACTTTAGTTATGGCAAGGAACTCTGGGTTAAGAACCAGTGCTTTATCTAGGTTTAACCTGAACTGATGAACAATGGCTACATGTAAGTAAATCAGGTATTCATGTGTTAATTTTCAAAAATAATTATCAGTATTAAGGATTTAGTAACTATGCCCACATTCCATTATTCATCCACAAAACAAAACATACAAGCCTCTGTACTCAAGTCACTACTCAAAATCTCAAGAAGCCACCCTATTTCATTTATCTCATCACTGCATGATTTCCAGTACATAACTTCCAGCAATGAAGAGAGACAAAAATGGTTCTCTTTAGCATTCTTCCACATACCTTTTTCTATTTCTCCCCAGAATACATTCATCTAAACCTTTTACATAAAGTTTATCTCCTTTTTCTTTGAAGACCCATATTATAAGGCCATCAATAAGCAAAACTCAGTCCCTATCAGAGAGGGACTGAAATAGCAAAAAAGTTCATCAATAATCTCATTTTAAGTTTTTGTTATATATTTAGTTTTCCTAAAATGTATTTGCAAAAGTTGAATGTAATTGACAGCTCTGGTCAACCATTTATAATTACTTAGTGACTGCCTCTGTTTTCTTAAGAAATTATTAGTAAGTATAATAAAATGGAGGACTTTAGCTCAACTATAATTTGTGACAGCTTCTACAATAAATGATAATTCTAAATCTTTGAGCACCTCCCCTAAAAAGGCAGTATTTTAAAGATATGAGAAAATGCATTGGTTTAGGTCACTTGCTTTATTTTTTTTAAAAAGGATTTAGAGTATTACCTTGAAGCTGACATACTGTAGATGGTTTGAATGTCTTTTAATTATCTGTTTGATCAGCTCTGGATGTGTAGCTTTCAAATAAGACGTAGCTGGCTGATTCAGTTCAAATTCAAAACATCTCCACAAGTCAGGCATGTGAAATACCTGGTTCCAGTTGCGGCAGACTTGTGAAGCATGAGCCCGGTCAAGAAGAGGCAAATACTTAAATACTTGGAGAATAATGTCCTGAAGGAGATTACCCCAATCACAAGTCTGAGAATGCTCACTTGTAGTCCTCAGTTTCTTGGACTTCTCTGCAGTACCTTCTTCTGATGAATTATGGTCACTATCTCTTCCTGCTCGTTTCATCCTAGTCAGAAAAATGCATCATTTTTTTTTCATACTTATGAACAGAAATAAACCTAAAATTCATTCTTCTGTCACTGAAATTTGTATATATGTGTTTATAAATACAAACACAAACATGCAGAAAGAACTGGACCAGTAAGTCAAGGAAAGGAGTATCAAAACAAAATATAATGAAAAATGCCAGTGAAGACCAACTGTCATTTTACAAATTCTATAGTTTTTAAATTTATATTTATACTGTACTACATGGGGGAGAAGCTTATCATGACCGTGAAACTAAACCAAGAATTTTTATTTCAAAAGTTGTCAACTAAAAGGAATACATAAGAACCTACAGTGACACTTTCTAAATGTTTCTTAAAAGTCATTTAAGGATACCTGCTGAATTTGAGTTCTTGAATTTAAGGTAGACCACAGTCCCAGGAACCTCCAAAGATGGTATGAATTAAGCAAGCAGCCAACTGATCTTTCCACACTGAATAGTCTATGATGTGTGTTACTGCCAGACCCAATTTCTGCTTAAAATAAGCAAATTCATCACTCACATGCATTGTTTGGTTTCTTCTTCCAAAACATCACTTAGTATTACAATGGGCTCCCCAAGTTGTATTTCTGAATAACAGGTATGTGTTTATTCTATGTATTTGTACTACCCTCATTCCATTTTTTTTTTGAAAATAGTCTTTTTGTTGCAAAATAGTAGTATGGTTGAAGAGAATGTGCTCTGGAATCAAGCTCCCTAGATTGAATCCTGGCTCTACCTCTCACTGGTTATGCTGCTTGAACTAACTAGCTGCCTTCCTGTGCTTAGTTTGTAAAGTGGGAATAACAACAGGGAGGGCTCTTGTGAGGAATTAAATAGCAGTTGGGATTTTGAGAGGAGATAAAGGATTGCTGAACTCAGGTATAGGAAAGCAGTCCAGTGTGTACAACAGAGTAAAAACAGGTTACCAACCAGAAGGCAAATGATGATTATTTCTGTCTTAAAACAAAGTGTGCATATTTGGGTTTGTGTGCATGTGTGAGCACGCACCAGAATACATACTTTTTGTAGGAGAAATACACATTGGAAGTAGATTCCCTACATTAATGTAGTTAATGTAGTTATAATAGTGAATGGGATATTTATAATACAGCAGTGAGATTACAGGTGAATTTTTTTTCCCAATATGCCTCTCCATATTTTACACATTTCTTCTAGTGTCAATTTTATTGTAATCAGATAAAAAGGTCTTGATTTGTTATTTGCAAAAACAAGTATCATAGGCTCTCTACACTAAATGGGGTAACTTCAGACCATTCACTAGAGCTCCTCAAGTTTAGGGCCTACAGTACTTTTCATTTGTTTCTATGGAAGGGTGGTAGTTTGGATTAGGATATTTGGTTGAAGTTTTTTTAAAAGGTTGGCTTGTTGTTCCAACTCCCTCCTCCTGGCATATCAGCTTTATAAGAATTTCTGATTCTTGTGTGGACAAAGGCTGTGCATATGCATGACTCTTAAATACGTCTCTGTAGACTCTCTATCCAGTAGCCAATAAACTTGTGAAAGGATTGGGGCCTGGAAAGAAAGAGCACAGAAGAGGCCCCTGGCCTTCATGACATTAAAATCAGCCCAGGTGTTGCACCTACACAATAAACTGCCCATTCCTCACTGCCCGTTTTCAGCTATGTGAATTAAGTGAAGTAAATGATGTACATCCTATTGGGCACGGGAAAGGGAGAAAACACAATGACAGACGTGATGGCCAAGATGGTTGTTTCATGGAAGGCTAAAACTTGTATGTGAATCCAAGAATATACTTTTAAATACACATTTATTAAAGAGGTAGTATAATCTACAACACAACCTATAATATTAAAAAAAAAACCTCTCCGAATAATAATGTCCCACTAGAGACTGAAATAACATTGTCATTATGACCCATTTTTCTGCTTTAACTTACCCTGAAGGCTTACTTTAATTTTAGCATATGAAATTTGGGTCAAAGAACAAAGAGTTTGCTACCCAGGGCTTATAATTTCTCTTCTGACTACCTAAAACTACTCAGAATTTTGAGATACAGAGATTCAGAAAAGAATGAGGCCTTCTTTGTAATTTCTACTCCTTATTATAGAATGTAGATTGCTGTTTCTGGGGAAAAGTCTTCTAAAATGATAACCACCCAAGTTAAAGATGGCATGATTCATTTTAGAGTATACAGACATTAAAAAAAAAAGACAGCCTATTCACATAATTATCTTTGCTAATACTTTGCTGATTCTAACGACACTTTCTTTTGTCTATTATAGCCCTGTTTTAAATAAGTATATTTCAATACCTTTCCAAGTTGAGGGGAAAAAAACAATTGGCATATTAAAAAGAAATATGCAACACTGAAAAGTAGTATCTCTTGGTTTAGATAAAAGACCTTTTGATCACCAAAGTATATTTTAAGTGCTTACTAGTTCATGAACAGCTGAACAAGTCTGTAACTTGTCATATGTAATATGACTGCAGTATGTCAGTATTAGACAACAGAAAAAAGTGTAAGGCCAAATGCCAATAAAAATGGTCTCTGCATTATCCTTAATTATGTATGAACATAGAAGAACACAGTGGGCACCTAATACAATTTTTTAAAGTGTTTTTTTTTCAAGATGATCTTAGTTATTCATCCAAAGATGTATATACTGCTTTCAAGAAAGTATTTTATTAAATCTATTTACACATGAAGCTCTGCTGTATAGAAAATTAAACAATTCTATTTTTTAAATAGAAGTTGCAGTTTGCAAAGGATTTACTTCAATGGACTATTTACCTCCTACATTTTAGTCAGAGAAACAGCTCTTGTATTACAGCAGAAGTGCGGAGGAGGAAGCTGGAGAACAAACATCAGTAAGACTTTGTAGGGCACCAAAACCAGGCTTCTTCAGAGTTCTAGTGGTTCAATTTCAAACTGCAACTTTTCCAAGCCCCAAATAAATGATGTAACTTAGGCCACTACAGCATTTGGTAAGGGACTACTATTAGCATAGGGACCCAAAAAGCAAACTAATGAGGGAAGACTACAGATTAGTTGAGTAGCACAGGCAGCAAATGAACTCTTAACATTTCTCTACACTCCCAAAGGAAGTCAACTAAGGGTGAAGAGAACTCTTAGCCGTGTGTCCCTTCTTGTATTAGGCACACTGGGAATGGAGTAATTTTAAAAGCCCATTTGTTTTTTGCTCTAAAAAGCCTGTTCACATTTTGTTTCCATTTATGTTCTCTTTATCAAAATTAGTATTCTTTGGCAAATACAAAAATAAAACAGTGGAAAAAGATGAATACAAATATAAAACAGTGGAAAATGATGAACTCTTAGCAGACAGTAGGGAGGCGGTGAGAATGTGTCTAGTGGTCATTTGTAGATACCAGGAAGTCAATGGTAGTTTTATAAATATTTCAGGAATAGGAGGGGAAAAAACTGTAACTAAAATATCAGGGCTATTCTCGACTGAACATCATCGGCAACAGTATCATAGGAATCTCACCTCTTAGCTTGGAGATGCAGGCCGATCGTCTAATAGGCTGCCTCCTGACCCCTGAAAGCCCACCACAAACAGGCGCGAGGCTGCTCATCACAAGTTGACCAAGTTTTCCACTTGGCTACACGTCCCGGGGAGTGCCCGCCTCCCTGCCGCCTCCACGGACTGCCTGTCCCTGACGTTTCTCCTGCACCCTGCCCTGCCCTGGGCAGTCTCTGACACCTTAATGGCTCTCATTTATCAAGCTGCAGGCACAGGCGTATCCGACGCCGGGAAAAGCCCGACGGAGCGCGAGCTCTAAGGTGCCGGCCGCCAAGCCCTGCCGCGGTAATAAAGCCGGCGACGGCCCGGCTGGGCGGCCCACGGACGCCGAACACGCACCACGCCTTGTTGACAGGTTTCGGGGCGGGCACCGCGGGGAACCGCCCCCCGAGCCGGCCCTCGGGTCCGAGCACGCGCCGCGTCCCACCCGACGCTGACGAGGGGCTGCCCCGCCCCCCCCGGCCCCCCCCGCCGCCCCCGCAGGTCGCGGGCGCGCCCGCCAGCCGTCCCAGCGGGGTTCCGGCCCTGTCCGTCACCGTTACCTGCTGCCGGGGGCGGCGTCCCCCACGCGCCAGCCCGGGCTCTGGGGACGGCGGCGGCTGGTCCCGCGGCTCTCACATGAGGCCCCCGGGGGCCCCCGCTTCGCGCTCCCGCCGCAGCGGCCCCCCGCGCTCCACCCGCATCCGAGGCGCTGGTCCCCCGGCGGGCGCCAACGCGACTCCACCTTTGCGGCTCTGGCTGCCCAGGAAGGAGCCTTCCTTCTCAGGCCCGCGCCGTCCTTCTCCCGGGACCCCTCGTCGCCGCGAGAGACTCCCTCAGGGAGCTAAAGCCACCGCGTAGACGTCCCCGGCACCTCGGCCCAGACACAGAGTCCAAAATGGCGCCTGGGGCTCGCGGTCGAGGGCTTTCCCCGGCGCGTCTCCGCCCGACGGGGGCGGGCGCGTGCCCGCCGCGGCGCGCCCACGCGGGAGCGCGCTGCCCTGCTCCGCGAGAGGGCCTACGCCTCCCGGTTCCAGGAGGGCGGGTCGCCTTCCGTGCGAAGACGTGACTGCCGCTCTTAGAGGATGTTTTGTTGGGAAGCCAGTGGGAGGCTGCAGCTAGCTGGATGCCGAAGCAGGTCGTCATCTGCTGTTGCAACTGGAAAGTTTCGGGCGGAGAAGCAGAAAGCAGAGAGGGAGAGTCCAGGAGCCACAGCCCGGCAGTGGTTCTGGGCAGAAGGATCGCCCAGCCGCCGACAGCGGACACGCCTCCGCGCCCCGGCACCGCCCCGCTGGCCTCGTCTGCGCCGCGAGATTCAGGGGTTGAAATGCAGGCACCGAAAGTGTACACACACCGTTTGTGCATGGGAGTCGTTAAAATCTTGGAGGAATTATATCAGAATAGTGACTGTAACGCTGGGATTGCAGCTGGTTTTTATATTTAAACGTTTGTATTTTCCAGTTTTTCTACAAACGGTTTTTGTCATCACTTTTTTTAAAGCCCACCTTTACAGAGTATACTCCTCAAATTTCTAAATAGCTTTCTGAAACACGGTGAGGGACGTGTAAAGGAGATGGCTGTTATTTAAAATCAAACTTCTGGTGAAGCCTTTTGTAAATGGAGGATTCTTTGTACACTGCTACCTAGTTAGCTTGTTTTAAGTTTGGATTCTGGATACTGGGGTTTTGTTAGAAGTGTCCTGAGGTGCAAAATCGTAACTTGAATCATGCACCGTCCTTCCCACCTCCCTGAAAAATAAAAAGAAAGTAATTTACCATCCAAAGATACCTTCTCAATCGTCTGACCTCTGCCTGAGACTGGGAGTCAGGGATGCCCTGGAAGTAGTCTACTCGCCCACTTCCCTCAAAAAAACTGAGCTAGGACGCCATGTGTAAAATTACATTAACACTCAGCTTGAGAAAATGCCAGTGTTTTCTGGCTATCTGATGATCAAGTCAAACTGAATAAAGTGTCTCCCCACGTAACAATGTGGTGTATCTGAACTGCAACATTTTTTTTAGGTTCCTCAGTGACTGGATGCTGAAGGACAATAGAAGTTCTGAGATGGAGATGATAATTATTAGAGGAAGAAAAACAAGTAAGTCAAAAACAGGCCCATTTATTTAAAGCGAGGTTAGCAGTATAAATGATCAGCAAAACACAATGAACCAAATTGGCAAACATAACTAGTATACATTATGTCATATTAAGACTGTCCAATTGTAGTGCTTTTTTATTCCTTATTACAGTCTATCCTCTCCCTAAAGAAGACAAGGATCCTGTCACACTTTACCTATTAAAATGCTCTCTCTCCTTCCCTATTGTTATGTAATGATTTTTATTTCACCTTTCGAAAAAAGAAAGTTGTGCTTATTTCGTAAATCAGTCGATACTTATGTACATTTATGAGTCGTATTAGTCAAGATCACTGGCATTATAGGGAGGAAAAGGAGGGTGGCCATAGAGTAGTTTGGCCCAGTGGTGAAGAATATTTTATTATTGACCCTGTTTAGAAATGCCAGTGCAGGTGATGATAAGAAACACACCAACATTTAGTCAGCTTATTATTTATAAATTCTGCACAATGTACTCCCTCCAGTGGGGATGGGCGCCCCCCACCTCTTTCCAGACCTTGCCCCTCCACTGATCAGGATAAATTAGGTTAGGTTGAATAGTTCCTTAAACACCATCTTGAATTCCTTGTCTTGATGGCCTTTATAGTTTTTCGGAATACTGTTCAGGTATTTTGTAGAATGTTCCTCAACTAGGTTTGTCTCTTGTTTTTCTCATTATTAGACTGAGACTGTAAGTGTTTGGGAGGAAGATCACAAATGTATAAAATACCATTCGCATCACATCATATCAAGGGTACCTGCTCTCAGAGGATTTATCCCTGCTGATAACACGAATCAGAGATTGAGGTCAAGTTGCTCCACTGCAAAGTTACTTTTTTTCTCCCTTTCCTAATGTTGTTTTTGGAAGTCCCTAAATGCAGTTCACAGGAAAGGGTTGGGGTGTTCTGCATCATCTTCTTGAGTTGGTAATGTCTGTATAAATTATTTGGATTTCTCTGCATGGGAGGATTGTCTTTAAATCCCTTAATTTCATACAGATTTTGTGTCTTTATTTTCTTTGTGATGCCCTCAGACCTGTCTTACAAGTAGCTCATTCTTTCTTAAGCTCTTTTTCATCTTTGTTAAGCCAATCTATTTTTTTTTAACTTTAAAAGTTAACCTTGGTTCCTGGTTCTTTTTCATATATGCCTGATTTCTTGATGTTCTTTTCTTGTTTTTAATTCTTTCTCCCCCTACCTCTAATTATTTCGATCATAGGAAATAATGGGGGGGGGGCTCTAATCCTGATTTTTGTCAATGTTTTCTCATGGTGAGTTTGTTACTCATATATTTCATGATTTTGGATTGTGAGTTCATGTTCCATGAAGCTTTAGCTGTAGGACACCTGTGCAGCCTGGTTAAGGGTGTGTCACTTCAGAGAGGTATTTTTGCGTTTGCTTCTGCCAGGTCCTGGAGGATATTCCTATCCTGAAACAACTTTTCATGACTTCTTGACTTCTGGGTTCTTGAGCCATCAGAGTATAAAATCAAACGCTAACCTGTGTGAGGGCAGGCCATGGTTATGAATTATTAGAGAGTCTTTTTTTTTTTCCTAACTGAGAACCCAAGCTAAGACAGATCAGTTTACAGTTCATCTCCCTATACCTTCGGCCAACCATTCCTTGAGGAAGATAAAGAGCTTCAAAATTCAAAATTATATAGGCATCTGTTACAAGTTCTCTTGCAGACTCAACCCCTGTCCCTATACAAGTCACTATTTCTTCAAGTCATCCTTCCCATCAGTCTCTGTTTTGGTCTTAAGGACTTCACACTCACTCCTCTCAATTCATCCTCTACGTCTTTTAGCTGCCCTTTCATATTTGTCTCTCTTTAAAGTATTATATATTATCTTCTAACAATGATTTTCTGTTTACAATATAATGTTTATTCCAGCTATTGGAAATACCATTCCCAAAATTTCTAATTTGTTTTTCATATTCATCTAGGTTTTAAATAATTTTTTTTTTTACAAATTTCACAAACATACATATGATTTCCATATAACTATATAGGAAGTATATATGGAAATGAAAATAAACAGAAAGCTGCAGTAATAATTCTAATAGCGGATGAAATAAAGTTCAGTACAAATAATATCATAAGGGAAAAGATGCATTAATAATAGTAACAGTGCTAATAAAAGAAACAACAGAGCAAGAAGATGGCATCCTCATGAGCATATATGTACCCCACCATGTACAAAACACACAAAGCAACAACTGATAGAACTGTATGAATAGACCGATCAGTACCTATAGTGAAAGATTTTAACATACCTATCAGAGAAATGGATAGATCAAATGTGAGCAAAATCATAGATCTTAACAATACAATTAGTAGTAACCTTAAGCTCTTGGATATATATAATTTTATGCTGCAAAAAATTATTGTGGAAAAACAAAACTCTTTAGAAAATAGACCATTTATCAGGTCACAAAAGAAACTTAAATCCCAAAGGTTCAGCATGATACAATGTTTGTGAGCCATAATGCAATAAAGTTAGAAATTAATAACAAAAGGATCACTAAAGTTTTGCTTGGAAACTAAATAATAGAGCTAAAATATATGAGTTAGAAAGTAAGTCATAATAGAGATTAAGACAAATTTTTCCTGTATGACAGTGAAAGTACCATACATGTAACATATTTGTGAAAAACTTCTCTATCAACACTGAGAGTGCAATTCGTGGTTTTAAATATAATGTAGAAACAAGTACAATTCAGCAAAAGCCAAATACTTAGCTCAATAAGTCAAAAGAAACAGAAAAGCAGCAGAAAAGTCAAAACATCCAGAAAGAAAGTAAAATGATGGTTTACAAGAAAGCCTCCCTTTCCCATAGGCAAATGCTGCTCCTCGTGTTAGGAGGTGAAGTCCAGTTCCCTTGCTCTTGAACCAGGGCTTGCCTCAGTGATTTGTTTCATCCACAGGATGAGGCAGCAGTGATGTTTTAAAACTTTTGAGGCTAGGTCATCAGAAACCTTGCGGCTTGCATTTGGGTCTCTTGAAATGCTTACTCGTCCAACAGTGTGTCCAAAGAATCAGTCACCATGTTGTGAGAAGACAGCCTCATGGAGCAATGCTCAGTGCACCCGTGGAGCCCCAAGAGCCAACAATAAACTACTATTTTAATCTAGTAAGTGTTAAGTGCAGTAGATAACTGGAAGAGATTTAATAGTAAAGACAAGGGCAGGAATCCATAAAATAGGAAAAAAAATAGAGAAGATTATCGAAAACACAAGCTGGTTCAAAGAAAAATGAGTAAGGTAGGTAAAAGTGTGATCAGATTGATTAAGAAAGAAATGTTGCAAATTAACAAAATATAGAATTTTTCAAAGGGGGAACAAATATAGCCACAACAGATATTTAAAACAAAAAAAGTACATTATGTTTATTAACCAATAAAATTGAAAGCCTAAATAAAATTAGTAAAGTCTTAGAAAAATATAGAATGCCAAAATTGGTGGGAAGAAGTAGAGAATTTGAGTAGATCAGTAAGCACTGAAGTAGTTATCCAGAAACAAGTACAGTTCAGCAGAGGAAAGCCCTTTCCTCCCATATCACCCCAGGCCCAGAAAGAATTACCAGACTTCCAAGTAAAAGTGAATCCTTTCTGATACAAGTTATTTGAGAAAAAAGATGAAGAGGAAAAGCTGCCCAGGTCATATAATGAAGCTAGTATAATCATGATCCCCAAACCAATATGGAAAAGAAAAGAGGTGCAAAATTCTGAAATAAATATTAGTTAACCAAATCCAACAATGTACTACTAAGACCAAAAAATAAAATAAT